GCTGGGATTAAAGGCGAGCGCCACCAACGCCGGCTTTTTTTGCTTTTTTACTAACTTATTTTTTCACATTCCAAGTTTTAGTACATTTGCCCCAGAGCAAAAAACAGCAGCATTTTACTAGGAATTCCAGGGACCAAAGTGGTCTCAAGTGCCCTAGAATTCCTGAGGAAGAGACATCCTAGTTCCTTCTCACACATGCTGCTGCTGCCACAAGTTGACCCTGGGGGTCCTTTGTGGCCCGTTTCATCTGCCTCACCCCAAAGGAGGGCCACTTCCTAAAGACTGCCTTTAGCAATGACGGTAAGCGCAGATCAACAACTCAGGAGTCCCCTAGAGACCTCACAGTGTCCCCCAGACAGAGGAAGCTCATCTCAGAGTCAGGAGGAGAAAAGACTACAGAGAGTGAGTGGGATGTGGGGTAAAAGCTCATTTTACTCACGCATCCCAATGAACACCCACTGAGCAATTACTACAAGCCAAGGACTCTGCTGAAGATTGAGGTGACAGAAGTACGGGGCACGGTGTCCTTGCTTACCTTGCAAAAGCAACATATTGTGACAGGACTGACAGGTGATCAGCCAGATGTACTTGTGGACGTACAAGTGGGCAGCTAACCCAGCCCCAGTACGAAAGCTTTCCCGAAAAAAGAAGCAGGCAAGCACCAAGAGAGTAGAAGACACACACAGCTAAAGTCCTGAGAGACCTGGAGCCTTCCAGAAGAGCAGAAGGCCTGAACAGTCATAATCTAGAAGATCGTCTTTAGCAAGGACGGAGAGGAACAGCTGGACAGAAGCCATAAGTGGTCACTGTTGTGACTTAGAAGACTGGCCTCAGTGAGGAGCCCGCATTGGAAGGCATAAGGTACGATGGACAACTGGGTCAATTGATGGGGGGTTTCTTTCTGTATGCTGTATATACGCATTGCTCTCATTGGTTGATAATAAAGCTGTTTTGGCCTATGGCAAGGCAGGATAGAGCCAGACAGAAAACCCAAGCAGGGATACAAGAGAAGAAGGACAGAGTTTGAGAGATGCTATCCAGCTGCTCAAGGGACAACATGCCAGTGGACTGGTAATGCCACAGCCATGTGGCAATACTTAGACTAATAGAAATGGGTTAATTTAAATGTAAGAGTTAGCTAATAAGAAGCCTGAGTCATGGGCCAAGGATTTATGAGTAATATTAAGCTTCTGATTGATTACTTGCCAAAGGCTATGGGATGGGGCTGGACAGAAAGCCTTCATTTACAGTCAATATATAGAAGTAGGCTAAGACAAAGGGGCAGATCAGACGGGGTGAATGAGGAGAATTAACAGGATGAGGTGTCTTATTGGATATGGGATTGTCTGATGATACAGCCAGGACAGCAGGGAGGACAGAGGAGCCATGAACAAAGGTAGGGAGTATAGGACCAGAAGCAGATTGGTGGGGAGTAATTTAAAAGGTCAGCCTGGGGATGAGGATGCAGATCAGTGGGAAAGTGCTTGATCGGCCTGTATAAGGCCCGGGCTTCAGCAATGCAAGCAACAGTCGCAATCTGTGATGTTGGAGTTATGCATGGCAGGGCATGCCTGTAATACCCACACCTGGGAACTGAAACCACGAAGGTGGGAATTCAAGGTCATTCACAGCTACAAAGCAAATTTGGGAGCAACCTGGACTGTGCAAGAGCCCCATGTCAAACAAATAAAACTAAGATCAACTTTGGATTTACTGAATTTGTGGGACAAATGAGATTGCAGAATTTAGGATTCCTGCCTAGATCTTGAGAAATGAGGTGGCCTGGCTTGTGAACTATAACAGAGATATAAATCACAAGAGAAGAACAGGATGGCTCTGCTGCCATCCAGGCACCTCAAGAAGGAGCAGAAGGACTGCCCCAAGTCTGGGGTCAGCCTTAGGAAGCTCCAGTCAGCTAGGGCTACCTAGTTAAGACCTGTCTCAATAACATCAGTTATTTAGACACGTGATTGGAAATGCGGTTGAGGTTCAGTCCTATTCATCTGGTCTGCTAGTGACAACAGGACCCAGTCTCTTCCTGAGCTTTGGCTCTGACTTCTCCAGGGGCAGCCTCACCCTGAAGCTGGTTGCCAAGCTAGCTGCTATTCCCCCTCCAGATCCAGAGGAAAACCATCCTACTTGGAGATTTCCCAGAGGCAAAGGGAACTTCTTAGCCAGAAAAGATCAACGAACGTTTCCCCCAGCCAGGGGCTTGAATTTGTTTCCACTCCCGCCCTGGAACCGCTTTCGGTGACTCGGTTGGCTTAGCTTCCACCAAAGCTACTTCCCCAGACACAGAGCTCAGTAGAGGGTTCATGTTCCTCCAAGTACACAAGCAGAAGAGGGGAACCCTGATACGAAAAACAGGTTACCCTATTATCAAAAGATAGACTGCAATCGAGGAGGCAATCAGAGTCAGTGTCACAGAGAAATGTGTGTTTAAAAGGCCCAAACTAGGCAGGGTGGTGGTGGCGCACGCCTTTAATCCCAGCACTTGGGAGGCAGAGGCAAGCAGATCACTGTGAGTTCGAGGCCTGCCTGGTCTACAGAGTGAGTTCCAGGACAGCCTCCAAAGCCACAGAGAAACCCTGTCTCAAAAAAAAAAAAAAAAAAAAAAAAGGCCCAAACTAGAGCCAAAGGGCACTCTGAGGCCGCATTTGAGAAATTCTTCCTGGCGGGTAGCTGAGCGCTGGATGGACTTTCTTTTTTAAAGGTTTATTTTTACTTCATGTGTATGAGTGTTTGCCTGCATGTACATATATGCCTGTGTATCACATGCATGCCTGGTGCCTGCAGAGGCCAGAAAAAGGTATCAGGCTCATTAGGACAGGAGTTACTAATAGTTGTGACCCATCGTGGAAAAGCTGAGAATCAAACTCAGGTCCTATGGAGGCACTGCAAATGTTAACTGCTGAGCTATCTCTCCATAAAAGCTATGCAGCTCAGTTAGGTGTGTCTTTGGTTTTTGCTTTGAGACAAGGTCTTACAATGTAATCCTGGCTAGTGCTATGAAGACAAAGCTGACCTCGAACTCAAGAGATGGCCTGTCTCTGACTCCAGAGAGCTAGGATTAAAGGTGTGCACCACCACACCCAGGTCTTGAATAAGCTTTCGTTGATACCAGTGCATGGGTGCCTATGTGTGTACACAGGTACACACTCACAGACACCAGACACTGGAGCAATGATGCTCCCAGCAGAGATCTGGAGGCAACACCCAGAACCCATGCTAATGGAAAATCAGGATCCCAGGGAGACAGGGTATAAGGAAAAGGTTCTCAAAAGGACTACACAGAGCCTCCCGGTCACCATCGTCAAGATGTGGGAGCTGCTCGGGTCTCCAAGCATGTGATGACGCAACCACTTAGAAATTTAGAGAAATCACCAGGCCTCAGTATGGGGTGACAATGAAGGGACAAGAATGAAGAGGAGGAGGTCGGTGAGGTGGTGCACACCTTTATCTCCAGCACTCGGTAGACTGAGGCAGGTGGATCTCTGTGAGTTCCAGGCCAGCATGGTCTACAGAATGAGTCCCAGGTCAGACCAGAAACTATATCATGAGATCATCCCTGTCAAAAAAAAAAAAAAAAAGATAAGGATGCCAACATGTAGGTAGTTCCGGCAGAGCTAGCAATGGCCAGAGTTGCGGTAGAATATCTAGAGTAAGATCTAAGATGACAAAACCAGGAATGGGTGATGTGGGGGAGACAGCATTGTAGACACGAAGTCAGGCAGGACACCCTTAGTAGCCGTCAAGGATGAAGGTTTTCAAGAACTACCCACCCTCCCCTCTGATATAGAGAGACCTCACAGTGCTGTCCCAGTCAAGACAACTAACCATTAGTTGTGGCAGGAAATTGTATATACACGTGTGGGAAATGCCGTAGGCTCCAGCTGGTTCTGCAGGTGGGGAGAGGGGAGCTCAAAGAGGAAGGAACTAAAGGGGAGGGATGCCCCCAATGATATGGGGCTCTGCTGTTTATAAAACACACGTGAACAAGAACACAGCCTGGAGGAGTAGCCAAGGGGAACAGGATTCCCGGTCTTCCTTTTGGAGGCAAATCCACAGTGGACAGTAATTTGTCTTCTTGGAAGTGAAATGTCTATAGCATAAGCTCCAAGAACTTGAACCCCAAGTCCCATTTCTTCTAGTCCTTGGCTTTGAATGGGATCCTTTCTACAGGAGGTCAGACCAAGCTGTACTCTTGGCTGACTTCCTGGGTGTGTGTGGGGGAGGGGTAGATCCGTTCTTGGGGTGAAGAGAATGGAGTGAGAGATTGATGGGGGAGAGCACACCTGGGGGGGCAGAAAAGTGGATGACTCTTTCTAATGCACCTGGAATAACTTTTAAGAAAGGGAGTGGCCAAACAGCTAATCCACCGCCCCTGGTCCTTGGGCCAGGAATGTGGGCTCTGGACTGACTCCAGAGGAAGAAGAGGTTAGGGAGCAGCAGGTTTCTCAGACTGGCTCAGTCAAATAAAACAGGGACACCGTTAGAAGAATACAAGCTGCACCTGCCTCGGCCTACACAAGCAGAACTTCTCCAGGGGACCGCCCACATTCAACCCGAGGTCCGAAGTCAGAGGAGTAGACAGACTCTGAGTGGCAAATACTGACGCTGGGCACTTTGGCCTTGCTCTCTGCCACTGAAGCAGCTTGTACTCAAGGAGCACTCAGTCCTCAACCTCTACCAACCACCAGAAGGCCACAAGGTCAAAGGCAGCCTTTTGCTCTTTCCTCCCCCTCACTGAGCACTAAGAATAACCTCCTGCAGGGTATGAGGGAGGATAAAAAAAGATTTAATTACAGTTTCTGTTTCTGACCTTGATCCTCCAGCCCCCAGGAGCGCCATCTTTGGTGTCAAGAAGAGGACATTGGCCTGGCTGCAACCACAGGTCAAGCAACACAAGAGAAGACACTCTTGGTATTGGAGAGTGGTCCCCACTGCCCAACTCATTCAATCTCAGGGCAGTCCCTGAGCGCCAGTAAAAACCAGGAGCATCCATCTTGGGCTACTTTATTTAGGCAAGATAAAGGTGCTTGTAAATCTTTCGGAGACTGGGGAGGTCCCTCTGTCTCCCAGACCGTTGCCAAGCTGGTACTTCCAGTTTCCAACTCTCACCTATGCCAACCTCTCCCATATTCCTGCTATGTTGCAGCTGTCGCCCAGACTGCATCATGCTCTTTCCCCCAGTCCCAATGGCATCACATATGTGACTTGTCCTTCACTGTGGTTTAAACAACACAAATTTCCTGAGTTGCCCACCATTCTCTGGCATACTTAAACTGCAAAGTCACCAGGCAGACATTTAGTAGGACTAACACACCCTTAGCTTCCCTCTTAAACTATAAACTGGTGTGGAGCAACTTCCAAGAGCCCCCTTAAATGTGGCCATCCGATGCTTCTAAAAACAAAACAAAAATGGGAGGGGGGGCTATAGAGCCATGAGAAAAACTCTCCTTCTGGCTTGAGAACTCACCCACTGGGGCTCTGTTAACTGCCTTTGTTGTCTAAGAATTTGAGTTTGGAATCCCTGCAGGAGATGGGAGGAGAGACTGAGATGAAGAAGAAAATAAAAGCTTTTAGACAAGGGCTGTCCGTGCCAAGAATACCTCCGGAGGTTCGCAAGCGTTCACAAGACCAAAGGGAAGCCGGTGCCAGTATCTCTTTGTTGACTCATTGAAATATTCCATCTCCGGGTTATTGCCATTGAAAACACCTCCTCCATCTGGAATCTTCTCTGCACCAAGTACACAATTGCTTCATTCATCTCTTCCGAGGAAGCTGTCACCAAGTCTATGCTGCCTCCACCAGCAGCTGGGCAAGATGACAAGCCCAGCCTTGCCCACTGAGACACCAAGGACGAGGTTCTGGTGTTAGTTGAGTCTTGAGTGACTCTCCCACTCTGTGGCCTGCATCCTCCCCCTTGCTCACAAGCCCTGACCCCATACATGCCAAAGGAATGGAGCAGGCAGGAGGGAATGCAAGTAGGACTTCCCAAGGAGCAGGCAGGAGGGAATGTAAGTAGGATTTCCCATTCCAATCAACATTCAGGGAGCTCACACAGGATACACCCCATGCCGGTGAAGAAGGGAATCTTCTAATGTGTCTTCTGTGTGTGATCTTTAAAACCCGACACTGGCCTTCTGTGAAAGAAAAAAAAATTGTCAAAGGTCACAGTGGCAAGGGAGAAAGAAAACTTGAATCCAAGGATCTATCTACCACTAGCTGAATGTGGGCGAACAATGAAAGCTCTGAGTTTGGTTATGTGTCTCCACACTGAGAAGAGTAACTACAGGTGCCCTTTAGCCCACAAGACTGAGAAGGGAAGCTGAGTGCTAAGTGGGAGTGTGATACACAATCGCCAATGGGCTGTGAATTCCAGAGAACAGATTTGGGTCTCCCTGAGCCTCCATCAGTGCGGGCATATGACCTGCTCTTAACTGATGTTGGAGTAGAATGAAGAACTTCCCATCCCACACAAAACAAAGAGGAGAGTTTCTGGTGATCCAGATGGTCCAGAGGAAAGGCTTGGGGACAGGGAAGCAAGCGTCATGTGGCAGCTCACTCTGGCTAAAGACTGAGCCACAAGTTCTGGGAAAAGGATCCAGACAAGGGACCTCCAAGTGTAGCTTGATCAGCCAAATCCATTACCGCCTTAGGGGAGGAACCTAAGATGTTTAGACCAGCACTCCTGACCCATGCAACAGGCCTCTTCATAGGGAGCGCTAACCCAGGGTTGGCAATACGGGTGGACCACGTTACCGACAGCCATCACTTCTAACAATGGGTCATATTGCTCTGAGAGGCAGCATCCAGGCAGGGTTTGGTTAGCAACTGAGTAGGAAATAAAACACATTTTGTGTTTTCATTAACTGCATTCAACTTGGTGTTGCAGAGGTTAGCATCCCTATTTGATCCTTTTAGCCAGTACGAGCCAGCTTCTCAACGGTCCCTAGGCAGTTCTTACTGTGCGCAGTGCCTAGTGAGCAGTTGACAGACACTTGAGGAAATGAAGGAGGAAACGAGCATAGAGGAAGGTCAGAAAGGCCCTGCTGGCCACCAGAACTTATGGGGGAGGGAGGGAGGGGGAGGGAGGGAGGGAGGGAGGGAGGGAGGGAGGGAGGGAGGGAGGGAGGGAGGGAGGGAGGGAGAGAGAGAGAGAGAGAGAGAGAGAGAGAGAGAGAGAGAGAGAGAGAGAGAGAGAGAGAGAGAACCAATGCATCTGGCTGGGTTGGGCAGAAGGCAGCAAGCAGTTCAGGCAGGAAGGATGCCACCCTGAAGCCACTTCTGTTCCGAAGCAACCTCCAACCCAGGCAGGAAGCAAGCCTGCCCCCACCGAACTGCAGAGCCAGTAGACGTCCCACTAAAACACAGCAAGGCTGTAAATCAGTGGGTAGGAAGGAGCTGTCTCGCGTTTTTCCTGCCCGGCCAGACAGAAACACACACTGCCAGGGCCGCAGATTTGGAAAACCAGGTGCTACTGCGGATGGGTTCTTTCGAGTCAGGGTGGTGCTGAGCTGGGGTCCCACGCTGCTGGCCCACCTCGGATGGAGGAGCAGCCACTCCCTCCCAGCAGGCTCTTTAGTGATGGATCTCCAGGGCCAGGCTGGCCAAGGCTGGTACTCAATAGCTGTGGCTTCAGCTTCACCTTCAGACACTACCCGCGAAGCTGCGCAAGGGGAATTTTCCACTGCCTGGTTCCATTCAGCTCACGCCACCGCCTGACTGTTTACAGGGAGCAGAAAGGTGCAGCCACCCTCCCGCCCCCCACCCCCCAGGGCACAGCGTTGGTGGGACGCGAGGGTGGGTAATGGGAGTTTTCTTCGTGTGCCCTGGCCCTAACTGCTCCACCTGGAGTGCTGGGGTGCGCAGAGGCACAGTACCCGGAGAGGAGCAGGGGCCCCGGGTGGAGTAGAGGGTACAGGAAGCCAGTGCGCGGCTGCCCTGCCTCCCTTCCTCCCTCCTTCCCTCCGATGCTCCCTTGCCTGGGACTGCGAGATGTCCCGCGTGGGTGAGTGCTCCCTTTCCTGGCGCAGGGTGCCTCCCCCCTCCCCGGAACTGCCCCCCACCCCCCACCCCCGCTCAGCAGTGCTGCCATGCCCTCTGGGTAGTGTTTTCATTCCAGGCTGGAGATCCGGTGGTGGGAAGCAGGTAGGAAGCCATGTTTCTGGGGGTTTCATGAAAAAAAAAATCTATTTGGTGCTTACAGAAAGCCAAATATTGGGTTAGAAGCCAGGAACCGAGAGGGAAAAAACCCAAAGCAAACAGCGGAGGGAAGAAATTCCTACTAAACAAGCTTTCTATTCATTCTTCTGATCCCAGGTGCAGGGCCTGCAGGGAGAACTCAGCGAATGTAGGACTTTAAGACCCCCAAGTTCAGATTCTACAACGCCCACGGGACCAAGGTGTGCAAGCCCCTTCCCCCACCCCGCAAAAAAAAAAAAGAAGAAAAAAGAAAGTGTCAATATCTGGTTGGCCATAGCACCCCAGAGGTCACTGAGGTGGCTCAAAAATCCTTTGGGAGTAGAGAGGAAGAATTAAGTAAACTGTTCCTGGTTTGACCCTAAACAAGTAACACCCTCTCCTGACCTCATTTATGGGATATAGGGAGGGACTATGATTTCACGGGTCATAGCAACCTGCTCTGTTTCAGCCTAAAGTTATCAATAACACCAGTAGTGCCCATCTGTGTAGTGGGGTCTTAGGAAAACGGACTCAAATATTTCAGCCTGCCCTGGGCTTGATGTGTCTTGTCCCTTCGCAGAGCCAACTCCTAGGGTCTAAGCCAGAAACCTACAACTCCAGTGGTGTGCTTCTAGAACCTTCTCGGATCGCTTCTAAGGTAACATAAATCTGAGGGACAGCAACACCCAGCCTGGGTAACTGGAAAGCTGGAGGGTTCTGTAACAGGGAAATGCTGGTGGGTAGGTAAAAAAGTAAAGAACTAAAAGAGGAAACGGCTTCAGCCTTCTGCACACACCAGTGCTGAAGAGGTGGTTGGGAGGGATTGTGTCTCCATTAGGAAGAGAAGTTGTATGCCAGGAGAGCAAAGACTGGATTTTGGCCAACCAGAAGAAAGACTGTCTCCCTTATTGCATCTCCAGAGCTCTTAATTCTCCCCTTTCCGTGAGTGTCCCCCACATACCTCCACACTTAACTGGCAGAAAACATCAGCCTGAGGAAACCTGATCTTGTATGCTGCTAAGTTCTTACTCTAAAAAGCCTAGGCTTCAGTTCCTACCAACAGGGAACCAGAACCTTGAGAGAGGACCTGCAGGGTAGCCACTGACAAAACTGCTAAATAAGACAAATCCATGGGGCTGGAGAGATGGCTCAGAGGTTAAGGGCACTGGCTACTCTTCCAGAGGTCCTGCGTCCAATTCCCAGGAACCACATGGTGGCTCACAACTGTCTGTAACTACAGTTCCTTACACAGGCATACATATGCAAGCAAAAACAATACACATAAAAAAATAAATGAATAAATGTTTTTTAAAAAAAGACGAATCCTCACGAACTTTCTCCTTTGTTTCTTGAAGCTCTGTGGGTTGTTTCACCTTCCATCAGATTTCCAGAAACTAAAAATTGTCCCTACATGTATCTAGTGAGTCATCGCCTATCTCCTGGGCTTGCCCCTCCGGTCTTACCATCACTTCTGCCTTGTGGGCCCTGGGCATGCCTCACTAGGGCTAGAGACATGTTGCCAGCTCGTGACCCTGAGTGACTCTCTTATCCCTCCATTTCTGTCCAAAGGTCTCACTCAGTTACATGCAATTTTGTACCAAATGCCTACTACCTAAAGGACAAAAATCCAAATTCAGTCTGGAGCATACAAAAGCTTTCCATACTTGAAGTTGACCGATCTGTTCCCGTCTCCCTGGTCCCCAGTCCTAAGGATGGGTTTTCGTGCAAAGGCTGCTGGCCTTGTAGTCAGGATGGGATAGTGAATTCTCTATTGTAACCACAGAGCAGCAGTGAGCACTCACTGCACAGGGTTGGGCTGAAACAGGTGATGAACTTCCTCTGTGAAGAAGCTGTGACATGGAGCTACAGGGCTCTGGGTTCCCGGGGATTGCTAGAAAGGCCAGGCATGGGGTAACTTTTAAAAGGTCAGTGACAGGATAGGACCAGGAACCTTCTGGAGACGTAACATTCACCCTCTTATTCTGGGTTGATTGGCACCCCTCTAGAGAGCCCTGGTCCCTGTCTGTGACACAGGAGCATTCACTCTGGAAAAGCGTCTGGGTAGTCATTTATGATTAGTGTACATTTTTAATGTTCATTATACATTCATAGAAACATTTACTCTTCAAAACAAAGAAGGTTTCCTGGGAGACAGGAGGCCAGAGGAAGATGCTGCTGTGAGATTCTGTAGACTGGGTAGGATGAGCTAAGAGGATAAGGAGAACACAACCTCATAAGGAGGAAGCCACCCACCAGCTCCATTTCCAGATGGGTGTTAGTCTAGCACAGGGGAAAGAACCATGACACAATATAGGACTTTTTTTTCTGGAATGAGAGGTTAGGAGACCAACCACAAAACTACCAACTTGAATGCACACACACAAACACACACACTAGAGTCTTTCAAAATAAGCCTACAAAGTCAAAATCCCAAAATACACACAATGAGGAAATCTAATGTTCTTGGTTAGTGGTGGTAAAATCAACCACATGGATTCACTGTAGTTGACAGTGGTTTACAGAGAAGTATAGAAAAGGCCTTCATAAACATTTTTCATCTATATTGTGCCAATAAATTGGAAAAGCAAGGTAGCTACTAAAAGTATGTATGAAATAGTAAGTGGAAACTTCATCTATTAGGGTAGATGAGTATGTGAAAAGTTTAAAAAACAAAACAAAAACTGAACAAAGACCTCATTGGAAATCTGAGCTGTAAAAATAATTGGTGAGGACAACCTCCAAAGCAATACAGAGAAACCCTGTCTCAAGAAACTAAAATAAATAATTGGTTGGTGATATTCTTAAAAATCAACATTCGGGTTAAACTCTAGACTGTATGTCATAAAGAGGAAAATGATGAGCTATGAGTTGGAAGACAGCAAGGAAAAATTCATCCAAAATACAATAATGGATCACAAAGGAACCAAGAAGGGAGAGTGTCCAAAGGCGAATCTAGAAACAAGGGTGGAAATGGCCACCAGGTTGTCTTTTTGATAAATTTGTCTTACTTTTAGCTTCTAAGCTCTCTCTTTTGTGTGTAGATTCAGGTGGTGACCTGGAGAGCAGAGTCACTATCCTCCTTGAGCAAGCAGCAGGTATCCTGGTCAGACATGATTGTGGGGAGTCTGGCTGGATTCTATTTCTACAGCCAGCAGTCATCCACCCCAGGGCTACACCCAAAGTGAGATATCTGAGGAGATTTCCTGTGTTGCACTGGTTTCTTGTTGATAAGAGTGACTTCCTGATTCTGTGGACCACGAGGATGGTGTAATCTGAAAGTTCTGTTCTCCTACCCCATTTTCCTTCCAGTGTTTTTGCAGTATCTGCTATTGTTAGAGCTGGGGAGATGGCTCAGTGGATGAAACACTTGCTGTCCGAGAGTGAGGACCTGGGTTAGGATCACTCAAGTGGAGCTGGGCTTCGTCAGGCGCAGCTGTACTCAAGTCAGTGGTCTCTGCGGGGCAGGGAGAGGAGCATCCCAGAAGTTTGCAAGCCAGTTAGCCTCGCATACAGAGCAGTAAACAATAAGACCCTGTCTGGAGGTAGAAAGGCAAGGACCACCACCCAAGACTACCCTCTGGCCCCAACATGAGCACCATGGCATATTCATCCTGGTACTAACACACCATACATACACGTCACACACAGAAAACACACACATACACAAAGACTTTTTAAAAATGTGTCTTCCCAAGAATTCTTGTATTGGAATTAGTCCCAAAGTCATATTTGGAAGCTGTTTGGAGGTAAGCATCCAAGGCCTGTGACAGCTGCTGAAAATGGAATGAGGTCATGAAGGGGAAGCCCAGTGAGGTCACTTTGACGCACTTTCCTCATTCTCCCCGTGCAACAAGGCCCTTATCTCTGGTCGTACTTGAGGGACCAAGAGGGGGAGGCAAGTTTCAAGATAGTCTAGGAAATGGAGCAAGACCCCATCCAAAGAAGAAAAGGAAGAGGTCGGCTGGGTATGTTTCAGCAGTAGACTACATGTCTAGCCTGGTCAAGTTCCTGGTTCCGTACCCATGATTATTGTGAAGGTTAAAAGGAGCTAGTAGCATGCTTCAAGACTTGTGAACTAGCTTTCGAAGGTGATTTTCATGTCTGTGGATGACGCCTCAGGAGTCATAGGTAACATGGTTTCCTTAACCTTTTATTGTTGAATCAATAAAGTCTACTGAATCCTAAAAGAAAAATAACTGAGCTAAATAGATCTTTATTGTTTATTTTTATTCTATGTGCATTGGTACATTGCCTGCATGTATGTCTGTGTGAGGGTATCAGATCGTGCAATTGGAGACAGTTGTGAGCGGCCTGGGAACTAAATCCAGGTCCTCTGGAAGAGCAGGCAGTACTCTTAACCACTGAGCCATCTCTCCACCCCATCTTTATTCTTTATAAATCATCTCCTATTTTATATTTTGTGATAGCAAAAGAAGGTACACTAAGACCAGGTGAAATGGCTCAGTAGGTAGACACTCCTGTCACCAAGCATGATGTCTTGGTGGTGAGGAGCATTTCTAGAACTTTTAAGAACACTGGAGTTTGGTTCCCTGCTGCCTGCATAAATCTTAAAAAATAAAAAAAGCTGGACTGGGGATTGAGCTCGGCACATACCTGTAACATAGCACTTGGAAGCTGAGGCAGAGGGTTGTTTTTGAGTTTAAGCTAGCCTGGGCTACACAGCCTTTCCCAAAAAAATACTAGCTACATTAAAAAAACAAAAACAAAACCTTTCTTCCTCTAGCATTTTGACACTATGAATGAAATTCAAAACATTGAAGATTAAGGAAAAATATAGTTTGCCTTTAAGCCCAGCACACGGGAGGCAGAGGCAGGAAGATCTCTGTGAGTTTGAGGCCAGCCTGGTCTACAGAGCAAGTTCCAGGACAGCCAGAGCTACACAGAGAAACCCTGGGGAATGGGAAGAATAGCACTACAAGTTCCCAGAATAGGAAAATATATAAGATATATTCCACATACAAAAATGTGCATCCATGCATGCAGTATGAAGAATCAAGGCTCTGTGACTCTGGAGGTTGAAGTCAGAGGATCAGAGGTTCAAGACCATCCTCAGCCACTTGAGACATGCAAGGGTTGCAGCTGGGCAGTGGTGGCACATGCCTTTAATCCCAGCACTCGGGAGGCAGAGGCAGGCAGATTTCTGCCAGTTCGAGACCAGCTCTGGTCTACCAGAGCTAGTTCCAAGACAGCCTCCAAAGCCACGCCCCCCCAAAAAAGACATTCAAGGATTTCCTATACTACTACTTAAGACGCTGTGTGAAGGAGGACCAAAAAAAAAAAAAAAAAAAAAAAAAAAAGAGTTATCTAGAAATAGTAAGACACAGCCCCAAAATTGTAAGGAAAAAATTAACAAATTCACATTTGATAAAATGGTAATCATCTGTGAGGATAGAGGGATTTTATTTTCTAAGTACAAAATGTTTTATCTAAGTATTATCTCTAGGGAAGCTACTGAAGGGTGTGACATACAAAAATCAGGAAGTCAACAAAGAAAGAGGAAACCATGAGATACATAAAGCTACACCTGAAATGTGGAGATACTAAAACAAACTGCACTGGAGGAGAAGGCACTGGATCAGAGAGCTGCAGGAGGGATGGCTTCCGGCAGATAAAGCAGGTGCACCCCAGGAAAAAGCAAAGGGAAGGGAAAGCCCTGGTCGAGTCCCAGCCCAGGCCAGGCTGTCTCAACAACAACAAAATAAAACAATAAACTAAGCCAGGCTCGTCCCAGCCCAGCCCAGGCTGTCTCAACAACAACAAAATAAAATAATAAACTAAACTAGGCGCGATGGCTCACACCTTTAATCCCAGCACTCAGGAGGCAGAGGCAGGCGGATCCCTGTGAGTCTGACAAGGAGAATGTCCACCAAAATATGTCAAGGTAATAGCTCCGTGAGCACGGCACACAAGGGAGACCACCGGAAGAGCCAGCTGATAGAACTGGAAAAGGTTGAAAAGTTCCTTCTGGAAAAAGTGACAATAGGCTATTGGTCTTGTTGTATTGGGAAAACCTTGTACCATTTAATCATTTTAATTATCTATGTGTGGATTGGAAATAAAGATATTGAAGCCAGGCAGGCATTGCACTATACACTCCTAATTCCAGTACTCAGGAGTTGGAGACAGGAAGACCACAAGTTTGGAGATAGCCTGGGCTACACAGCATAATACAGTCTCAAAAAAACAAAAAACAACAACAAAACGAATACTGGGTCATTGAGATAGCTAGCAGGTAATCCCACAGGGCTGTATGACCTCAGTTCAATCCTCAGGTCCTACACGGTACAAGGATAGAATGAACTTTCAAAAGTTATAGCTTCACATGAGTGTACATGAACAAGGGTGTTGAACAACACACACACACACACACATAAATAGCGGGGTGTGGTGGCATATGCCTTTATTCCCAGAAGTTAGGAGGCAGAAGTAGGCAGATCTCTGTGAGCTTACGGCTGATCTAGTCTACATACAGCAGAGGTTCTTAAGCTGTGGGTCATGACCCCATCGGAAGAATCAGACATTCCATTACGATTCACAACGCTGGCAAAATTACAGTTAGTGAAACAGCAACAAGAATTATTTCATGGCTCTGGGTCACCACATCATGAGGAACTAACTGTGTTTAAGGGTCACAGCATTAGGAAGATTAAGAGCCACTGACATAGTGCCAGGACATTCAGGGCTACTTAATGAGACCTTGTCTCAAACATACATACATAAATAAATAAGTAAATAAATAAATAAATGCCAGAAGGATGCTGGTCCTTTCAAAAGAGGAAATTAGCAAATCAGACAAATGTCCAGCAAGGCACTGACCAATAAAAAAGAAAGAATTCAAACAACATTAGGGGGCAAATCTGCAGCCTGTATTCACCCTAAGATACTGCCTCCAGTTTGTGCATTCAAGAGTTCAGCAAAGAAAGGTAGCAATAAACTACCAAAACTGACGCAAAAATAGTCAAACTAAACCAACAGCTATTAAAATTCTGCATTGCTAATGGAGGTATCTGTTCCAGGTGGTTTCAAGCAAACTTTTTCCTAAACTTTCAAAGTATAAATAAACACAGTCTTAAACCAATGTTTTCAGTTCCTGTGTTGGATATTCTCCTAAATCCCTTTTCTGGTAAGATTTTCTGTGGGACACAGGAAGGCCCAGCCACACCCTACATTTTCCAGCTATGACAAAACTCCCCCTCACCCCCACACACAACCCCTGGGGAGGGAATCCGCCCTTGTGGCTTTGAGTGTCAGGACACTCTTCATAGTGCCACAAATCCAGCCTCCGTGTGACATTTCATTGTGAGCAGAAGCTGTGCTCTGTGTCTCCATCACCCTTTCCCAGGGCTTAAACAACAGACGTTTATTTTCACCTTTCTGGAGGTCAGATGTCCAGATGAAGGTGGCATAGGACTGGTTCCTCCTGACAGCTATAGGGAAACCTGTTCCAACTGGCTGCCTTCGCCACTGCGGCTCCTTGGACCCTATGGCATCCATTGAAGATTTCCCTACCCATCTTACTCCTTTTCCTTTGTGGAGTGTGTGTATGTGTGTGTGTAGAATGCACATGAATGTACGTTTGCATGTGTGTGAGCCATATGAGCCTAAAATTGACCCTCATCTTGGTGTGTGTGAGCATGTACATTCGTACACATACACACACACACATACACACACACACACACACACACACACACACACACAGACAGACGCTGGGAGGCCCAAGGTTACTGTCAGGAATCCTCTCGATTGCCTTTCTACATTATTTATGGAGTCAGGATCTCTCAACCAAACCCAGAGCTCTGTACCCCTCCCACATGTTCTCAGACGTGGCCTGTCCTGCCATATTGGGGAATTCGTTTTCAATATTTTTTATTTTTATTTTATGTGCATTGATGTTTTGCCTGCAAGTTGGTCTCCGTGAGTGTGTTGGATCTTGGGAGTTATGGACAGTTGTGAGCTGCCAGGTGGGCGCTGGGAATTGAATCCTGGTCTTCTGAAGAACAGCCAATGTTCTTAACCACTGGGCCATCTCTCCAGCTCTGACCTTTTTACATGAGATTCTGTCAGAAAGAAAGGCAGGAGAGAGAGTGAGAAGGGGGAGAAAAGAAAAAAGAAGTGATTCAACAACATATTAATTCGTGCGTCAAAAGGGAAGTCTTATCTAGACACGATGATTCCTTTAATAGCACTCTGGAGACCACAGCAAGTGGATCTCTGTGAATTCCAGGCCAGCCAAGATGCTCTCCCCATCCCTCCACCTCCTCCCCTCCCCCTCCCCCCACACAGAGGTTTGAGTTTTGGTTTTTCAAGATAGGGTTTCTCTGTAACAGCCCTGGCTGTCCTGGAACTCGCTCTGTAGACCAGGCTGGCCTCAAACTCACAAAGATCTGCTTGCCTATGCCTACCAAGAGCTGGGTTTAAAGGTGTGTGACACCACACCCAGCACACACAAGTTTTTGAAGGGTCTGGAAAGATGACTCAGTGGTTAAGAGTACTTGTTGCCTCTTGCAGAGGACCTAGATTTAATTTCCAGCATCCACATGGTAGCCCTTAGCCATCCATTCTCCAGTTCCACGGAGTCAAATGCCTTCTGCTCAGGCACCAGACACTCCTGAGACACACATGCATACATGCAGGCAAAGGACACATATTTGTAAAACAAAAATAAAACTTTAGTTATTTTAAAAAGGGAAGTTTTGGAGCTGGAGGTGTAACTCAGTGATAGCTGGAGGTGTAACTCAGTGATAGAATATGGTTTTGACACACTAGACCCTAGGTTCAATTCCCAGCACCCCAAATTAGGAAGTACCTGAAACTATGAAAAATACAACACATTAAAAATTTTAAGTTATAGCCAAACCACGACTTAGAGGGAGATGTGCTATGAAGTGCTTTTTTTTTTTTTTTTTTTTTTTTTTTTGGTTTTTACGAGACAGGGTTTCTCTGTATTGTTTCGGAGGCTGTCGGACCAGCCCGGCCTCGAACTCACAGAGATCCGCCTGCCTCTGCCTCCCGAGTGCTGGGATTAAAGGCATGCGCCACCACCGCCCGGCGAAGTGCTTATTTTTTAAAAGAAGAAAGGTATCAAGTGACTGTTCTAAAACTGCTACTTCAAGAGGTTAGAAAAGGCAAGATAAACTCAAAACAATCAGGAAGAAAGAAACCAGAAGATTAAAGACAAGAACAGCAGTGATTAATGAGACTAAAGGCTTTTAAAAATTACAATGAAACTGATAGACCTTGGCTAACAAAGCGGGGAGGGAGGAAAGAGGCAGGACACAAATTACCAACATCTAGCTAGAATGAGATAAAGGACATCACTACAGACCCCACAGATAGTTAAAACTGTCTGTGACAGCACCCATAGTCTCAGCTACTCAGCTGAGGTAGGAAGAAGCCCAAGAACAAGGGAAGGAGAAGAGGGCAGGGGCATATTATACATATTTATATAGGCAAATCTAGTAATTTTGGTAAAATTAATATATTCCTTGAAAGTCATGAACTTTATGGACAACTCAAATAGCTCCATATTTATTCAAGAAATATATTTGTGATTTAGCCTCTTGGGGTAAAATAATTACTCTTCATCCTAAATGTTATTGTGGTTACACAGCCTACCCATGCTGAAACTCTGGCCTGTACCCAAAGAAGTCAATTTTATTTCCTTCCTTATAACCTCTGTTTTTGTTTTTTGGTTTGTTTGGTTTTTTTAAGAGACAGCATCTTGCTCAATAACCAAATTGGTATCAAAATTAGCATCCTCCTGCTTCAGCCTCCCAAGTGGGATTATAGGCAGTTGCAACTTCACCTGGCTCTTTGCCAGATTTTTCGATTAGACCTTCTATCTTAAGAGATAATCAGGGGTTGGGGAGAAGTGCATAAGTGCTTGGTGCACAAACATCAGGGTTCACTCCTCAACACCCACATTAAAGACAGGCACAACAGCACTGTCCACAACCCCAGACCAAGGAAGGAGGAGATGGGGGAACCCCAGGATTTGAGGTCATCGAGTTGAACCAGTGACCTCCAGGTCTTAGAGACTCTCAGTATTAAAAAAAACTAAGGTGAAGAGCAATTGAGGAAGAGACCTGACATCCAAACAAAAAGGCCAAGCAGTAAGTAGGTGCCATAGCTCATAGGTGGGTGTCCCCCAGATACCCACGTTAATGGCTTGATCTCCAGAGAGGCTCCGTGGAAGTTTAAGAGACTTCTGAGAATGGGTGCCTGGTGGGAGGCCCTTGAAGTGGTTTGCCACTGTGAGCAGCTCTCCTAAACCTGTCCGTGAGGTAAGCCACTTTGCTCCACCTCACCACAGACCTAAAAGCAACAGAGTCACCTAACATGGACTGAAACTCCCAAGGCTGTGGCCCAAATAAACTTTTCTGCTTTGTAAGTTTATCTTAGGGATCTGTTATAGTACAGTAAGAATAACAAAGTACACAAGAGTAAACAGGGAGGAGTAAACAGAAGAAATAAGCAAGGATTACAGTATCAGAACTGGAGGCCTGACTTGGCATTTAAGAGAACTGGCAGAGCCGTCATACGGATCAGAGATCAGAGTTAGAATCATCAGACCCACACAGCAAAGCGAGGGTTCCACACATGGCTAACAACTTATCTCTGAGGTAGGCAGAGACATGAAGATTCCTGGGGCCCCCCGTTAAGGAGAGATCCTGCCTCAAGGAGTAGATGGAGGGTGACAGAAATGAGCACCAAGGTTTTCTGGCCTCTGTGTGCACCCTGCATACACTCATGTACACAAATACACACACACACACACACACACACACAGAGGCATAAAAATGAAACAAATATATCATTTTTAAAGTTACAATACTGGCCGGGCGTTGGTGGTACACGCCTTTAATCCCAGCACTCAGGAGGCAGAGGCAGGCAGATTTCTTTGAGTTCGAGGCCGGGCTGGACTGACAGCCCCCAAAACAATACAGAGAAACCCTGTCTCGTAAAACCAAAAAAAAAAAAAGTTACAATACTGTTCAACTTATTAAAATAACAAGGCAAAAATGGAAACCTGTACTTTGATAATAAAAAGTACTGGCACCTGTAATTCTGATACTTGGGAGATACATCCAAGATCAGGAATTCAAAGTCAGACTTGGCTGCACAGCAAATCTAAGTCAGCTGGAGAGCTGCATGAGACCTGTCTCAACCAACACACACACACACACACACACCCCAAAAGAAAGTTCTAAGACGTTTGTTGTAGCATTACCTGTAATACAAACATTATTAAAAGCCAATGTTTGATCATGCATGGTGGTGCATGCATTTAATCCCAGCACTTGGGAGGCAGGTGGTCTACAGAGCAAGTTCTATTCAGGCATGCATAGATGGACCCCATCTCAAAAATCTAAAAAATTAAAAAATAAAAGCTAGTGTTATGGTCAATATTGGTTGACCCACTTGACAGAAACTAAAACCACCCACAAGGCAATGGTCTGGACACACCTGTGGGGGATTAGCTGGATTCCATTAGCCTCTAAGCTTTTTATGATGGATGAGTGAGGCTTGGTATAGGAAGAAAACCGACCTTAATTGTAGGTGACACTGTTTGATTGACTGGGCTCCTAGACTGAATAAAAAGGAGACAGCAAATAAGCCAGGAGTCCTTATGACTGCTTCCCAACTGCAGATGCAAGGAACCAGCTGACTCAAGCCCCTTCCTTCATGGCTTCCCCTCCCTGACAGTCTGTAACTACTACAACTGTAAGCCACAAAGCCCTTTCTCCATTCGTTTCTTGTCATGAATCTTATCACATCCATGAGAAAAGTAACATACAGGAGAACAGAAAAATACAGCTAATAACTTACGTGTGAGCTATTCAGAAGAATGCCATACAGTCATCTTAAATCACACACACACACACACACACACACACACACACACACACACACACACACACACAGAGAGAGAGAGAGAGAGAGAGAGAGAGAGAGAGAGAGAGAGAGAGAGAGAGAGAAACAAATACAGACCCCCACACATTAATATGAACATACAGTGAATGGCCTGGAACTTACTGTGTATATAAGGCTGGCCTCAAACTCACATCTTGCAGAAATCTGCCTGCCTCTATCTACTGAGCTCTGGGAGTAAAAACATGCACCACCACGTCTAGTTTATGTTTATTTCACTTATTTAATGTGTGTGTGTGTGTGTGTGTGTGTGCGCACACCTGCCATGGCATGCATATGGAGTCAGAGGACCACTTGCTGGACTAAGCCCTCTTCCGCCATGTGAGTCCTATGGTCAAGTTCAGGTCCTCAAGCTTGGCACAAGTACTTTTATCTGCTGAGCCACCTTGCCAGCCCTCATGAGATACATTTCAAATAAATTTGGACCATGTTGAATTAACAACAAATCTCAATAATGCTGAATGCCAAAGCAAGCTATGAGATGATACTAATTAAGTTTGAAAGTGTACATGCTGTCAATAGATACATCATTGCTTTAACAGAGTGTGGTTTTTCTCATCGTGACTAGAAGCGACCTGAGGAAAGGTACATTTATCTGACTCACAGTTAAGAACATGCAGTCCATAACAGTTAGAAAGGCCCAGCAGTGGGTAGCTCAACCATGACAGGAACATGCACCTGCGACCCCTCACCTCCACAGGGAACAAGAAACAGACAGAAAAGGCTGGCACTTGCCCCACAGATCCCTCACCTCCACAGGGAACAGGAAACAGAAAATGCTGGCACTTCCCCTATTTTATTCAGCCCAGGATCCCTGCTCATGGGAAGATGACACTCACATTGAGGACAGTTAATACCCTCACAGGCACACCCTAAAGTGTTCCTCACTTGTCCACTTTCTCTGTCCCCCTCCCCCTTCCACCTCTCTCCTTCCTTCTTCCTTCTTTCTTTCCTTCCTTGCTTCCTTCCTTCCATTCTCTTTTTGGGTTGGAGGGTTTTCAAGACAGTTTCTCTGTGTAGCCTTGGATGTTCTGGAACTCACTCTGTAAGCCAGCCTGACCCTGAAATCAGAGATCTGCCTGCCTCTCCCTTCCAAGTGCTGCAATTAAAAGTATTGGCCACCACT